AGACACATGCACACACATCACATACATACACCTGCCCACCAAATGCAGAGTGACTGGAGCTGAGCCCCATGGCTACTAGGAATGTCCAACCATAGCCAGTTTGGAAACAATTTGGCAGTTAGAGTTGAGTTCAATGAACTGCCCTGTGGTCCTGCCCCGTATACCCAAGACAGCTGAAATCCCACACCCACAAAATCATGTTTACCTACAAGGCCAAAGGCTTCATTCAAACCCCAAAATGAAAAAATGAAAAAAACACAAATGCCTTTTTTCCCCCCAATTTTTTTTTTCGGTCTTTTTGAGAAAGGGTCTCCCTATAGCCCCAGCTGGCCTGGAACTCACTATGTAGACCAGGCTGGCCTTGAACTCACAGAGATCCACTTCCCTCTGCCTCTCAAGTGCTGGGACTAAAGGCGTGTACCACCATGCCCAGCTTGGGATTTCAATCCATTCTTCTATGGGTGTTTCAGCCTTAGAAATTTTTTTGTTTGGTCTTTTTGAGAAAGGGTCTCCCTATAGCCCCAGCTGGCCTGGAACTCACTATGTAGACCAGGCTGGCCTTGAACTCACAGAGCTCTGCCTGTCTCTTCCTCCTGAGTGCTGGGACTAAAGGTATGCGCCACCATGTCTGCTCCAAATTGTTTTTGAGGCCAGTCTCATTGAGTAGCCCAAGATGGCCTGGAACTAACTATCCTGTCTTGGCCTCACAAGTGCTGGGATTATAAGTACACACCTCTGTGCCCAGGTCATATGCCCTTTAATGGATACGTAGCTAAGAAATTATGGTACATCCATCAAAAGACATATTACTGTTTCTCTGCTCCCTGAGAGGCAGCCCAGTGGTCTGTCTGCTCTCAAATGAACTCCCCCCACACACACATAGAAAGCAAATTACTGAGCAAACAAGAACAATCAACCTAGGCATTGTGATACACGCCTTTAATCCCAGCACTCAGGAGGAAGAGGATCTCTGTGAGATCAAGGCCAGCATAGTCATCATAGCTTTTTCTAGGCCATCTAGAGCTACAGGGAGACCCTGTCTCAAAACGAACGAACAAACAAACAAGAACTATCAATGGGCTGGGAAGATGGCTCAGTCCTAGCACCTGCTGTGCTAGTATGAGGACCTGAGTTAAGATCCCCAGAACCCATGTAAAGCTGGATGTGGTCGTTTGTGTCTGTGATTGCAGAGTTCCTATGATGAGATGGAAGGAAGAGAAAGGAGACTGTCACAGCAAGGAGACCTTGTCTCAAATAAGGTGGAAGATGAGACTCATACCTGAAGTTGTCCTCTGAATTCTACAAGTGCAGCATGGCACGCACATATTCCCCCACCCCCAGACACACGAGATTTAAAGAAAAAGAACTTTTAATACATGTAGCAATATGGAGAAATTCAGAAACATTTAGCGGGTGGAAGAGGCCTGACACAGAAGGCCATACTCTGATGACATTCCACAGAAGTAAAACCAAACTCAGGTGGGCAGGTGCCAGGGCCTGCTCTGCAGGTCACTAGAAAGGGACATGAGAAAACTTCAGTAGTGTCTACAGTGAAGTTCCCGGATTCTATATATTTATTTGCACAAGCCTCAGAACTATACATCCAAAGAAGACAAAGCTTGCTGTAGACATACTGTATTATATATCAGTAATTGTGACTTTTAGAGGCCCAGATAGGTAAATTACAAAGCAGCCATCTCCGTACCGGGGCAACAATCCTAACAGTTAGCAACAGAGCACTGGAGCAACCCGCCTCTGGAGAAGAGTTGTCTGGGCTGCAGCAGCTGCACTCTAGCACTGAAGAGCTGATTGCTGCAGTGCCCTGCTGGCAGCCCAGCTGTACGTTCACAAGCCACCTGAGCCATCCGCTGCCTGCAACCCAGAACCCCACCTTGAACAGGGCACAGGGGGCTCATGCCAAAACTGTAACCCTCTAACTGGCAAAATCCAGATCACCGACACCCTGAAAGGCTGGCCCCCACCCCTGCAGCCCTGTCTAAGCACCCACCCTATCACCTACCTTACCACCTCAGCAGCAAAACAAATTTGGAAGCCCTTCAATATGGGAGTTAACAGAGTGGGAATGAAATCCTCCTTTTTCCAAAGTCACTCCAAACTTGAAAAGATTATCTTAGCAGCTGAGAAGTGCTGGTGACAGGCTGAGAGGCAGTGGGGTGCATGGGGCTCTGCAGGAGCAAGCCTGCTCTCTGGTCCTGCTCAAATCCCAGCAGACTTGCTCTTTCTTTGGGTTGCCTCCATTCACCTGTAACACTCCTAGGATCCACATTCACTATAGAAATCAGGCTTCTCTGCATAAACTGCAGCTATAGAACCATCCTGTGTCATTGTCAACTTAATTAAGCATTGCTGCAGAATCTATGGATTCTTGCCTCAATATAAATCAACTTAATAGATTCATACACTGATAATATTCTCTGGTTGGCTTCTCATTTTGTGTTTGAAGTTGACAAATGGTGAACAACAGGTTCAATGTCAAAAGCTCCATGTTTATAAAACAGAAAACGGAACAAAATGGCATTAAAAAATTTTTTTTGCAAAATATACGAAATTAAGGAGCAAGTATAATGAACCCATCATTGAATGTCTTCAGAGTAGATCCAAATTTGCTGCAAGTTCTGATTATACCTCCTGTCCTGATGTCATTATGAGCTGCACCTCATGACTCCCTAACAGCATGCAGGATAGACTCAACCTCAGCAACCACTGGCTCATGGTCCATCATAATTGACCTTTAACCTCACGCAGGACATTATTTTGAGACAAATCCTAGATATTACACTATTCCATCAATAATGAACATTTATGAAGGAGTTTGAATTCTTTGATATCACCTCAGCTTGGAGCAAAGTGAACAGTCTCAGAACAGACGGCAGCTTCCTAGCCTGAGGCTTCAGCAAAGTCAAGCCAAGATGCAGAATTCCAGAGGCAGCATCTAGCTTAACAACCTGCTAAGATGGGAAGTGTGGCAGGAATCTCCAAGGCAACAGGCACATAGAGACAATGGGTTTTCTTTTGTGTTGGGACTGCCGGTTTCTTAAATTTATTTTCTGCTAGCATGCAATAGATTTCAAACAAAATTTTTTCCTCTTCTCCCTCACTTTCTTCTGTCTTGTGTCCTTTGCCCTCACTTCCTTCGCTCTCTCATAGTCCAAAACTACTCTCACACTCCCTGATTTACATACAAGCAAATATTAAAAGATAGTATTTGCATATGAGGGAGAACATGAGATATTTGTCTTTCTGAGACTGGGTCATCTCACTTAATATTACACTTTCCAGATCCATCTATTTCCCTGAAAGTTTCATAATTTCATTTTTCATTGCAGCTAAGTAAAATTCCATTGTATACATATGCCATATTTTCATCATTCATCTAGGCTAATTCCATTTCCTGGCTATTGCCAGTGGAGCAGCAATCAACATGGATGTGTACGTGTCTCTATGGTAGGGTACACAGTCTTTGGAGAATATGCCCAGGAGTGGTATAGCTGGGTTATATAGTAGTTCTATTTTTTCAGAGATTTATTTTTATTTATGTGTATTTGCATGTATCTGTGTATATGCTACATGTGTGTAGTTGTCTACGGAGACCAGAAAAGGGCATCAGATCCCCTGGAACTGGAATTATAGGCAATCGTGAGCAGCCCAATATAGGTACTAGAAACCAAACTAGGTCCTAGGAAGAGCAGCAAGTGCTCTTAACCACCGAGCTATCTCTCCAGCCCCAGTAGATCTATTTTTAATTTTTTAAGAAACCTTAATACAGATTCTCCACAGATTTCCCTAATGGCTGTACTAGTTCACACTCCCACCAGCACTGAGTGAGGACTCATCTTTTCTCACTTCCTCACCAGCATTTGTCTCTTTTTGTTTTTTAATTTTGGTTAGTCTAACTGGAGTGAGATAGAATCTCAAATTCATTTGCATTTCCCTGGTGGCTAAGGATGGAACTGTAGGTTTACAGTATCTGGCATCCATAAATAAACTGTCCATAAACTGAACAGTATCTGGCATCCATGAATCGTTCTTCCTGCTCAGGAGAGAAAGGTCAGCAGCCTCACCTGCCTCGGGAGTGTCCACTCTGCTAGCTCTTCCCTTCTTTTACTTTCTGCATCTAAACCAAGTATTGGCAATCTGAGTGCCCTTCCCAAAGGCCCAATGGGCAGTGAGAGGCTCCCCTCCCATTCCAAAAAGGTGTTCAGCTCCTAATCTTCATTGTGATTACAGTTCCTTCTAGACAATCAGTCAAATTCCTGATTTGTCACTTTTATCTTTTTCTGATGTCTATGATGAGAAATAACTGTGTTTGTGGAAACTGTATGCTAATCCTGAGTTGGGGGAAGAAGGTTCCAATGTTTCTGAAATGACTCCAAATAAGAGAAGGTACTGGGATTGAACTGACAGATACTAAAGCTATTTGGGGCATTTTTATAACAATGAGAATCAAACTTCACTATTTTAATTCACCATTTGAATTTGAATAGTGGCTATTGCCAACATTTTACTGGTATGTATGGCTTGATGGTAATTAATGCCCCTGGGTTATAATTCCAGGTGGTAATCCTGTCCCCCCTTGTCCCTGCTCAGACCCTATAGTATTGATTAAGGGAGTGATGACAGCATCTTATGATGAAAAGGTAAGAGTGACTCATAACCAGGGAGGCCTCAGCTTCCTGGAGCACCAAAGCACATGGGGACTGGTGACTAACATCTGAGAAAAAACACTCAGCCTAGATTTTAAGCAAAGGGACTGGAGGCACAGAAGCACCAGTCTATGTGACAAAGACCTACAGATGCCGGAACTCTGAGGTAGCAGGAGTTATGGAGGGCAGGGAGAAAAAAATGATGCTAGGCAGGGGGGCACAAAGCACAGGTAACAGAGGAGCAGACCCCACATTCCTTTCTTGCCCATAGGCAGGCACTCTGTGTGGCTCATCTCTACATCTCAAAACAGCACTTACTGCTGTTTCCAAACTCACCAGCTGCCATCACTGACAGAAACCGCATGTGACAGGAGGAAACTGGAGTCATGATGACGGTGTTGGGAACATCAAAGGGTTTTCTTCTCAGGGACAACCTGGGAGCTCCATATCACAGAACCCACTGGAACTTGGCCCTGGAAATAGCAGTCACTTAGTGGTCCAAGCCTTGACACTGATACCCCTTGAGAAGGATGTGAAGACCTAGCAGTTTACTCACTGCACATGATCATCGTCTTGGCTCAACAATGAAGACCTTATAGCCAAATTATCAGAACAGCAATGGCTTGAAGTAGAAGGCATATCTTAGCCACTTTGATAAGTAAATATAAACAGGGCTAGAGGGTAGGAGGAAGACAGCAAAGGAGGGTGTGGAAATAGTTTTATGTTCTAGAGTAGAGTCGTGATATGGTCAACAGTTGGCAAAAGAGAAATATGTTCTTTATTTTCTTTTGAGGCAGGGTCTCTGGTAACCCAGTCTGACTTCAAACTGTCTTTGTAGATGGGGATGACCTTGAACTCTTGATCCTCCTGTTGTATTCCTGGGTGCAGGGATTACAGGTGTGTACCACCACATCTGGTTCTTTGTGGTGTTGGGTATCAAGCCTATAACCCCAGACATACTAAGCAAGCACACTACCCACTGAGCACATCCTCAGCCCAAAGTCTGGATTTAATCCATACATTGCCTGGTGCTGCAGGAAGAACCAGGAGGAAGCCATGAGTGGCCAAGGTGTGACACAACAAGCTCATGGCAGAAAGCCACTCTATGACCATGGTAATTGATAAATTTAGAAGCAGCAGTCTATGAGGATTATTTTAAGATACAGGGGTACCCACAGACAGAAGAATGGGAATCACAAGTGAAAGTGTCTTTGGATTAAGGGCTTTGGGTGAAAAGGATAAGCCGATTTGTATTAGAACCTGTTCACTCCCATCTGATTTGTGGCCATGTGCATGCATTATCTTAGAATTTTAAAATGTGCTCAGGCATAGTTGGGCATGCCTGTAATCACAGCCCTCGAAAAGCTGAGTCAAGAGGATTGGGAGTTTGAGCTAGCCTGGTCTACAGAGTGAGAAGCTAGCTCAAAAAACAAAATTAAAAACATTTGAGAACAGAAGAAAAATAAAGGTCTGTATTTTAAAGAGAAAAAGTCTCCATGTGGTGGAACCAAGCATGGAAGGGTTAAGCTGCTGCAGTGTAACTATGGCAACAGATGTAGCTAATTTAGGTGTTGAAAAGATTGATGGGGAACAGATTTCAAATCAAGGGCTGCTGAGGTCACCAGAACTAGTGTTCTGCCATCGACACAGTGATGAAAAGAGAATACAGACTGTGGCTTTTCAGGGGAGACTTAAAAAATTTTTAAATGCTTTTGTGTCTTTTAATCATCATATAATTTGTTAGATACAAGTATGGCATTTTAAATGAAGAATTTTCTGTGGTTCTCCCACCTCCCATGTTCCCCACCAGTCTGCTACTGCTGCTCCCTCTCATAGCCCCTCCCCCAGATACTTTCCTCTTTCATGCCCTATGTCCTTTGCTCACCCCCATCCTTCCTCATCACCTAATATTGCCCTCCCTTGGTATGTTTCCTGGATTTTTTCGACTTTACCCACACCTATGCATGTTTGCATATATACATGTATACATTACAAGCTAAAATCCAAATATGAGAAGGAACATGTGATTTTTGTCTTTCTAAGTTTGGATCACTTAGTTTAATATTATACTTTCCAGATTCATTTATTTTCCTACAATTTTCATTTCATTTCTCCCCACACCTGAATAACATTCCACTGTGTGTATGTGTCGCATTATCACTGTCTATTCAAATGCCTGTTGATGGACATCTGGGCTGGGTCTGGATGCACATGTGTCCCTGTAGTAGGGGATATGGAGTCCTTTGGAGCTATGCCCAGGATCACTACAGATTTTTTTAAAGTATAAGCCAGATCTGTCTGAGGCCCCATGCTGAGTAAAGAAAGCAAGAGTGATGAAATTAAACTCAATAAACAGCACAGGTGAAAAACCTCACTCACAGTTAAATGAAAATGTCTTGAATAAAGTACCCATAACACCTCAGAGTTTAATAACTGTTTATATTATTCAAGAGAAACAGTTTGTCAGTGACAGTCAAATGTACTTGAATGGATTTTACTGCAGAAAAAATAATTAATGATTGAGCACAAGCATTTAACTCCCTTTTCTGAACTTCACAGAAAATTGCCAAAGGAATATAAAAATAAGAAGGAATTCATGTCCCTTTGGGTTACCAGGCAGCACAGCAGGAACTGTGGGGATGCACATCTTAACAACGTGGTTCTCCCATTCAGGGACACCACATTCTATTTCTCGAGTCAATATTGGCTCACATTTTCTGCAAAAATTGTCCATTTTGTCAAGAGCTCATGTGTTAGGATCCAATATGCAGTGTTCTTGCTATTTAAATCTTTTCTTGTCTGTGCTCCATATGCTGTCTCCAGTACTGTGGACTTTTGTCCCTTTTGTCTTAATTAATCTTGCTGGAAGTATGTCTATTTTACTGACTTTTCTGAAAGAGCCAACTTTTTAGACACAAGATGAGGAGGGCCTGGTTGCAGGAGGGCAGAATCCAGAAAAGGTATAGAGAAGTAGAGGCCCTTTCAGAGGGATAGGGTGGTTCTGCCTGCCTTGGGTGGTGCGCAGGAGAACAAGGAAAGCAGTTGGGCACATCCCAAGGGAGAGGAATAAGGAGACTCCAATTCTGTTTCAGAAAGGTAATTGTGAGTGGAGAGGTAGGGGAGAGCGCCCTGAGCCCTCAGGTTCTGTCCAGAGCCCATGAGACCCAAGGGACCCCAGCTGCCAGGCCAGGACAGATGGAAGCAATCTCATTGGCTGGGTTTCTCAGGTGCTAGAAGAACTAGGGTCCAGGAGCCATGAGCCTTCCCTGTACACAGGTCATCATGGAGTGGGAGGAAACCTGGGAGTTCTCTGTCTGCTCTGTAGAATCTCCTGTTTTCTCATTTGATTGCCCCCTTTTCGTGCACAGCCTAAGATGACCACAAACCCTGACTGGCCTGGCCTAAGTCCAATCAACTGTGTGCATAGAGGATGGGGTGCAGGGTAGGGTGTCAGACCATCCTCAGAGCTGCCACTGAGAGAAGCCAGAGGGATTTGTTACCTGGCCTGATAAGATTTTCTAGACACTTCCCAGATGTTCCAGGTATTAAATGGAACTTGTTTTTGGGAAGCCACATTGGGTGTATGGTGGGAAGCCTGGAGCTGTTCGATGAAGTCTTGTGTCAGACCCAATATGTCAGGGTGTTTGCTCTTTCACCAAGCAGTGTTTATTACTGAACTTCTGTGTCTTTACCCTCCATAGTTGACCTTGCTCACAGCTGGCTAGGTCATAGTACTGCATGCCTGCAACTCTTTCAGCACCTCAAGACGGGCCCACCACTCAACCCAGGAGTGAGAGCAGAGGTTCCACCTTTGCCTTGTACCTTCACCTAAACCCCACTGCCTATGCCATAGTCCATACAGTCCTGGAGCACTGAGCCTGTATTTTACTGGAACTCCTCCACTTCCTCCAGCCCTGGCTAGCATTGTTTGTACCATGTCTTCTATAGAATCCGGAAAGAACAAAGGTCCACTGCTTGCTCTCTAAAAGTAAAACAGATCCATTTTCCTTGCTGTGTTTTTATTTGGTCATTTTAGAGAGGGGAAAGGTGAGCAGACAGGTCCACATTGCCACCTGGAAGCCATCTCCAACCTAGTGCTCATGACCCTGAATCTCCTTGGGAGGAGGGTCAGCCAAGATACACACATCTGACCATTTCCAACCTAACTCCTGATGTCTCAAAGTAACCATCCATCATTTCCCACAACTTCTTTCTCCTTGATTATGCTGGTTACCCAATAGTCAGGCAAAGAGAGCTGAAAACACAAATACTTTAGGTGAATTTAATATATATTCTGAAGCATCAAAATAATCATCTTGGATGCTGGAAAATGGTTCAGCCAGTAAAGTGTTTGCCACAAAAACCTGAGGACCAATCCCAGAATCCAGGATGAATTCCCATGGTGGAGCACACCGTAATTCCCTTTTTGGGAAGACAGAGGCAGAAGGATTTCTAGAACTCACTGGTCAGACAGCCTCACCTAATTGGCTAGCACCAGACCAGTGAGAGACCCTGTCTCAAAATAGCAAGGTGGATGTCTCCTGAGCAATAATACATAGCTTGATATCTGGCCTCCACACAAATGAGCACACATGTATATACACACAAAATCATGGAACTGGGGATGTAGCTCCCCACTAGAACACTTACCCAACATGCCCAAGGCCCTGGGACTGATCCCTCCGACCGCAAAATCAAAAGGAACTAGCATGGTGATGTTATGGACATCACACTAGCAAGACACAAATGGTAGACCTACAAGTGTACAAAGCTCATGAGAAGGGAGTCTGGCTATTTTGCTTCCTTGTACAAGAAAGCAAGTAAGCTGTTCCTATAAAAGAGTGGTTTTCTCCAGGGAGGAGGAAGAAAACAGATTGGAGGGAACATGGGGCTCACAAGCTAGCAGTGTCCTATTGCTGATCTGCATGGTGCACACCAAGGCATTCGCTTTGGGACTCTGTTAAGTTGTGCCTTAGTTTATGAACTTTTCTGTTTTAAAAATTGCGTGTGTGCTTGTGTGCTCACATGCGCCTGTGTGTGGGGTGTGTGTGTGTGTATTCATGTGTGGGTTTGTGCATATGATTGCAGTTGCTCTCAGAAGAGTGTGTCAGATCCCCTCGAACTAGAACTGGAGCTGGGAACTGAACTCAGGTCCTCTGCAAGAGCAGCCAGTGCTCTTAACTGCTGAGCCATCTCTCCAGTCCCATGTTTTATATTTTCAATTTTTCGTTGTTTTCTTATTTATTTATTTTTATTTTATGTGTATGAGTGTTCGCCTGCATGTGTGTAAGCCCACCTGTGTCATGTAATGCCCAAGGAGGTCAGAAGAGGGTATCAGATCCCCTGGAACTGGAGTTACAGATATGAATCTGGGTCCTCCACAAGAGCAGCCAGTGCTCTTAACTTCTGAGCCATCTCTCCAGCCCCTTTAATTCTTCTTTAAATCAAGTAGTCATCAAGTACTAGGTACACA